ACTTCTAAAATTTTGTAGGCTTGAAGTCTAAGTTTACCTTTTGAATAAAATTGATTATGCAGTCACTGGGCCTAAGTAGGTTTAAATACTGCAGCTTTGAAAAATGTTGCATAGCCTCCCTGGCGGTATTCCCGAGTGTAGCTCGGGGTAAAGTTTCAGTACCACAAGTGGTAACCCCGAGCTACACTCGAGCTTACCATGCGGCGCTGCTCCGTGATCCCTCGATCACTTACCTTGTCCTGCGCTCCCGCGATGTCCCTCCTGCAGTGTCCCCTGTAATGTAATCCGACAGATGCCGGCATCTGTCATCTGGGTTTCGTTCCCTGCAAGCGTCGGGACGTACAGGGGACGGAACGTCAGGAAATTTGAAAATGACAAAAAGTGACATTCACTAATACACTAAAATCACATAGTACAACATTACTGTATCAAAGCATTTCACATACATTTTGTCCCTAGTGCTTTTTCCTGTGCCAAGCCTGCATTTTTACTGTTCTTTCTGCCTGGAAACTGAGAAATGTCCATGGCGTCCAAAAAGCGTCCCATTAGGTCAAAATCGGTTTTAGACCAGCTAGAGAACAGCGATAGTAAATTAGAACCACTTGCAGAATTGAGTAATAATGATTCGTGGGGAAATTCGTCATCAGACACTGAAAACGATTCTGCGACTTTTGGCGCTATATTTAAAATTTCAGTGTTTTTGGGTTGATTATATTATTTAATTAAATTTATTATATTATTTTTTATGATTATTTATTAAATTATGATTTTGTGTTTCAAGTTTTATCCTACCCGGGATGTTTACTAGACTCTTGTTCGTACAGATTTCAATGAGTTATTCCTAAAAATTACAGGCCTACAATAAAAAAAAAATACATATTGCCATGCAAAAAAATGTACCGCTTTGAGCACAGAAATATGGACATAATCAGACCACTAGGGAGGTTAATGTAATTTTCATACTTGGAGGCCAGTTGCAGAATCCCTGAAGCCTGGCTGAAAAACTCCCATTGTTGCTATTCCCCTGTCCTGGCTAGTAGTGAAAACATGCTATACGCTGATCTCAAGCCCTCATCATTGGAGTGGGTGTTCCTGCATAATGTGCACATGCGCAGTGCGCTCTCTCTCCGTCATTGCAGCAGTGCTGAGCTCAGCTTTTAAAGTGGTTCTAAAGTCTTGAGGTTTTTTTACCTTCATGCATTCTATGCATGAAGGTAAAATACCTGCATGCAGCAGCTCCCCCAGCCCCCTCAATACTTACCTGAAACCCATTGTGATCCAGCAATGTTAATGACAGCCAGCCTCGCTGTCCCGGGTCTCTGCCTGCTCATTGGCTGAGACAGCAAGTGCCATTGGCGCCCTCTGCTGTCAATCACAGTCAGCCAATGAGGAGAAAGACAGGGTGGGGGACAAGCTGCAGCATCGTGTAAATGGACACACAGAGCGGCCGGGGGGGCCTCCATAGTGAGCTGTTTGCTGTGGGGGCACCTGACAGAAGGGAGGGGCCAGGAGAGCCTGCAGGGGACTGAAGAAGAGAAGGATCCAGGTTTCTCTGTGCAATACCACTGCACACAGTAGATAAGTATAGCATGTTTGTTATTTTACAAAAAAAGAAATAAAATGAACCTTTAGAATTGCTTTTAAAGTATGTTAATTAAATTTTAAAATAACATTTTCTTATACCTTTTGAGAAGTCCCAAGTGAATCTCATCATTTTGAAATCTACAAAATATGTAATGTATGTATGGAATAAAACATGCAGGAGTTCTGATTTGTTGCATGCTTGTTCTGGGCCAGTTTGTCATATTACTTTAGCCTGACAACCAGGCAATAAAGCATTTTACTAACGCATGTCAGCTGTGTGTCTGTAAGTACAGCAGGATGTTACAGTGCAAAGATGGCTATAGACAAGTCATTGTAGTGCAGCAGGCTTATTGACAGATCTGACTTTACAGTCAATGGTCAAATCTGAAAGCTCTGGACATCTGGTGTCCAAGCTTATCTTCCACAGTGTGGGGGAGGAGATGGAGCAGAAACTGTAAAACGATGACTACATTATGACACTACGGTCTGATTTTCTCCTGTCCTTTAGCATCCTTTAGTCAGATCTCTAGTTTTAGGTCATTGTACGTTATTTGGAGATTAGGTCAAGGACTGGTTAAAGCAGAAGTTGCAGCATTGTCCCTGCTTATACTGCCCATCCTAGTATGATTCTGTCTGTTAAGCCAGTCAGCAGTTCACAGCCAGACATTGGCTACCTCTAATCGGAAGGGAGGATTTCTGCATCAAAGAACAGTGTAAGCCTGTGGCTGGATGAGATGTTGGATACTCTCTCTGTTCATCATTCACTGGTTGGGGGGATGCATGCTGTGTGGTTAAAATAGGCCCTCTATTTGAATCAGTTTTTGCATGTCCACTTTATAGCTGAACTGCAGGCATAATATGCTCCTCCACACTCAACCAAATTAAAGTGGCTTTAAAGGCAGAAGGTCTTACCTTAATGCATTCTCTGCAGTGAGCTAAAAAACCTGTGTTCCTTTATACTTACGTGAACCTGATCTCAGTCCAGTGCTGTGCTCGAGAGCAGTAGCTCTCCTCTCTCTCACTTCAGTGGGCATGGAGGCAGCAAGAAATCTATAGCTTTAGTGAGCTCCGTTACCTGTAATGAAGGCTGTCCCATGGTATAGAGGCAGCCAGATCCTGTAGAAATCTTCAGTGCAGGGTTGCCCCGTCCACTTCATTTACCTTAATGTCCGCTCCGGGGGGGGGGGGGGGGGCAAATAGCTTCCACCCTCTGGCTGTTGCATCAAGTACAGTGCACAGGGCCTATTACCTTGCATTGTACATAAGGACAAGAGGGCCCACATTGTGGAACGTCAAAAGAGAAGAGGGCCAGGGGAGTGAGGAAAAGGGTAAGTGTTAAAACCTTTTCCTCTTCTAGTATAGATACGAATATTAAAGGAAGCATGCCTACAATTTCTCTGGTGCAAAAAAGGGGAACTTACACTAAAGCTGTAGTACAAGATTAAAGTGACACTAAAACGATGTTTAAAAAAAAAAAATAATAACAAAGATGTTATTCTTACATTGTGCAGTGGTTTTTGCCCTGATCCTCTGCTTTTCTGGTTCCCGATAGCGCTCCTGGTTTCTCTCCTTCAAGCAGTGCACCCCAGGGAAAGTTGATTGCCCTGGGGGTAGCGCTACATGCTCGTCCCCGAGTCAATGCTCTGTGCGTCCATAAGACACATAGAGCTGCAGCTTGGCCTTGTCCCCCTGCTCTCTCCTCATTCGTTCACTGGCTGTGATTGACAATGGGCTCCCGTTTCTGTCTCAGCCAATGAGGAGGAAGAGTCCCTGTTGAGAGAGGGATTGTTGAGGGGGCTCTACACACAGAAGTTTTTTTTACCTTCATGCATGGAATACATGAAGGTAAAACCTTGAGCCTTTAGAACAACAGATATTGGACATATATAAGTACAAGGTATACCGTAATTAAAACAGTATAGCACATCAGTATGATCTATCTAAATTGATAATATATGAGTTGGCATACCAGAGAGTATAGATATTGACCAAAAGTCGGGCAGCTTAACATGTCAGAGACTGACTTTTGGGGGTGCCCAGGCCCCTTTCCCAAGGTGGACTTACTTGCTGAATCACAGGTTTAAATAGGCCATTACCTCCCTCAGGTCTGCCTTTGATCCACCATTTCTGGTGAAGTGATGTCGTTCTGTAAAAATCATGGTGCCATGGTACTTCACTTTTTCTCTGTCCCTTGAGATAGTCATAATGTTTATGGGAGATGTACAAATATTTTTTGAGATAGTCATGGGAGATGTACAAATATTTTAGTATAAAAGGCAGACTGGTATTGTGGACTGTTTACTATTAAAAGAAATAAACTTGTATGTCTATTGTAGACATTCTACACTTTACTGATTAACCAAAGAATATTTCTTCTGTTTTTTTTTTCTCCAAGGAAATTGCTGCTTGTTGTATATATTTTCTAGTAGTTTTTATATCAGTGTCTTTACCTGTGCCCTTGCTTTTAGCAGTGATATGATTAATGGGTGCTTTGGAGATCTCTGTCCTGATTTTCCAGTCACTGTATTATTTGTGTTCACATGTGTGTTACAACACAAACAAGTAAGAAGAACTCGATGACATGGAGCAGCGTGACTTTCACCTGCTGTCATCAAAACATGCAGTGGCATCATGTTATATGCTTGCTCATGTTTTCCAGTACAGATTTCTATTGCACTCTCTCATACTTTTCCACTTGTCCATGCCCTCTACCTCTTTGTAATTCCTCCCTTTTTTCTCCTTTTGACCCTGAGTCTTGGCTGCTCTCCCTTAGCCGGCTGTCTGTGTTTGTCTCATACAGGCTGGCACTTCTGCCCAGAAGGAGGAGGAGGATGAGGTGGTGAGCAGATGCCCGGTGAGAGGAGTCCCACGCCCCCAAACTCTGACCAACAAGTCATGCCTGTACCAGGACGGGCTCGTATAATACTGGACTGGAGAATGGACTTTGAATGTGGGCACCACGGTTAAGGACTGGATTGGACATGTTCAGTGGGCATTACAGATGAGAGCAAACTTTCTCAATGATTTCAAGAAAGGAAAGACTTGAACACCGGCATTACAAACACGCACACCAAAAGTCTGTGCTAGGTTGGGCCAAGAGGCTATAGACATCTGCCATTCATACATATGTGGAAAGGTCACTGCCATCAGAAGACGTTGAAAAGTTCAGACCATTTGATTATCCTGCTGTCACACCAACAGAATCTGAACCCCTCTTGTCTGCTAAAGTCAAAATATTAGTTGTTCGTGGATATTGCCGTATGGCTATGTTATAGCCCCTCTACATTTGCTTTCTTTTCTGAAGATGTTACAAAGCCATTGACCAACAAAGTCCTGTTCTTTGACCTTATTTATATTTTTGTCTACTCCCTTGGCAAACCCTGTTGGTTACATCCAGTTTTTTCTTCTCCCACACCATGAGCTCCCTGTTGCCTTTTGACAGCGTGCTATGTAATCTCCTGGGCCTGTCTGTTACACTCTGGTTCACCCTTCTCCTGGTCTTCATTATCGTACCTGCTATCTTTGGGGTTTCATTTGGCATCCGCCGGTTGTACATGAAAACCTTGCTCCGAATTTTCACGGTAAGTCACCTTGTGTTGATTTTTTTTTATGTTAAATTGTTACTAAACCCAGGACCCTGCATTGACTATATCTGGTCCCCACAGTACACCGAACATAGAAATGCAATTATTTTAGTAAATATAGACTACTAAATGCCTTTTCCCATCAGCAGTTAGAGCAGTCTTGTGACTTCTATCATTGTCTAGTAGAGCACTGGTTAAAGCTTGTAGAAGTTATTTGCCCCTGATTGTCCTATCAGGTTTCATATCCCCTGACCTTTTGTTTGGGCAGCGCTGATTGGCCCTGTGTTGATCACATGCACTCTCCCAAGAAGAAAAAAAAAACCCCTTTAGCAATACACACCAAACTGAGCATGTGCTGCTTGCCCCCAAGGCCCTGTGCTATCAGCAGATGGATTGAGGACAGTAGAAGGGGAGGATCAGAGAAGATGGGATCAAACCGCCTTTTTACATAATGCAGAAGATTAACTCCTTAGGTTCCACAGTGACTATAACAGGCATGCTTTACTGCATATACAGACTGATTTTACTGTTGTGGGTTTAGTAACACTTGAAGGAGGGAGCGCAGCCTGTAGTGTCTCAGCTGTGAAGCTTTTTTTTTTCCAGTTTGCAGCTAACGTGAAGCTTCATTAAAACAAAGAGCCTCAAGCTATCTACAGCTGATCTGTGTAACAGCTTCCAGTGCTGCGATGAAAACAATCTGCTTAGCATTAATTTCCACGTACACCTAGTCATGCACTAGCTAGATGAGTTACCATATTTTCCTGCACCTAGGGAACATCACTCACAGCTTTTTGAGGGTTGTCTATCTTTGCCTTAGTCCTCATGCACACTGGATGTTTTGATAACACTGGTAACATTAGCTGTGTAAAGTCACGTTAAAAATGTAAGTTTAGTGTTTTTGCATTAGCATTTAGCGGCGTTTCCCTCGTTTTGTGGTTTTTAGCGGGTTTTTTACCAGCAAAAAAAATTTCGTTTTGGTCAGATAAAGTCCAAAAACGCTGGTTTGCTGCGTTTTACCGCGTTTTTCAGCTGGGGGGTTTACTAGCTGTAGAAAAAAAATGTCAAAAGCCAAATGGCAACTGTAAAACCGTCCAGTGTGCATGAGGACTTGGGGACAGAGCATATAGGCAGCAGCAGACAGGTTATTAAACTGTTAAATTTAAATGTAAATTAAATTAAATTATTAAATTCATTGTGTAAAAAAGCCATAAATGTATATTGTGTGTATTAATATGCTCTTATTTCTTTTTCACAGTGAAAATGGGCATATGGAGATATATTTATTAAAGCAGGGCTTCACAAATTTGTTTTGGATTTAGGAGCCAGCTAAAGTTAGGAGCCAGTATTTTTTTTCACGTTAGCGTGGGTTGTCAGCATTCGGGACTTCAAGCAATGCAATTTGCCGCTCGACAATCATGGGCAAAACTGCACTACATTTTAGGTGCCATTGAAAATGACACCCAAACTTGCTTTTTGCAATCGCAGCGATCCTGCTGTGATCCAAAAATGCCCAGGTGTGAATGGAGCTGTCGTGGTTCACACTTACGCAATTCTGGATTCATTTTAAAACTCACAGATTCGCATGACAGACTAGATGATATATGTTCTTATTGAGGTGGTTCACACAAATGCGACCCACACGCATTGTGTTTTGAATGCCATTATGAAAAGGGTCCTATGTGAGTATGTAGCGGTGCGTTCCAGATTCGCAAGTAATAGAGTGGCATGCATAGATAGGTGTTCACATAGAATTGCTATCGACAGGAGTTTTGGCATCAGAGTCTATGGGAGGCATTTTTTCCCATCTCTGCCTCCACATTGGCTCAGAGACTGCAGTGGGAGCCATTGACTGTAGCTGCTGTCAGTCACAGTCAGTGAGGATGGGGCGGGGATGAGCCCCTTTCTGTGTGTCTTATGGACAAACAGAGCAGGGCTCAGGAGCAAGCACACACAAGTGTTCCCAGAACAACTGGCTTGATATGGGCAATGGGTAGGGGAAGAGCCCAGGGCGCCAGCGGGGGACCTGAGAAGAGGATGGGGGCTGCTCTGTGCAAAACCTTTGCACGGGACAGGTAAGTATAACATGTTTGTTATTTAAGAAAAAAAAATCTTCCCTAGCTCTGGAGAAGCCTGACTTCTTTAAGATTAAATCACCTCGCTTGCTTTTGGCTTTTGTAATTGTTATGCCATTTACAGTCTTCATCGCTATTTGTTTTGTCCAAATAGGCTGCCATTATTGCTGATTTGCTGGTCCAGTGGCTTTAGTCAATTTTAGTGACTAGCCTGGAAAGCTAGTCACACAGATAAGGAATCAGAATACTTGTCTGTGGATCAGTGACCCGTAAAATATTGAAGTCACTGAGTTAGCATAATAACCAGGTAAATAGTATTTTCTGCAGGTCGTCAGCATCGCTATAAAGAACACTGAATTATCTGTAGATGTGTTAAAATTAAAAGTGCACCCGTGAAAAGACAACACTTATTTTCAGAATTTCTGGGTGCATGAGATTCCTGCTTCCCTTCATCCTTTTTGGTTCCTCCTTTTACTGGGGAAGGTAATTTGAAGATCCCTGAGGCAGCTTTGTTCCGCAACAGAGCATATTCAGTGACTGGACACTAGGATAGATATTTTATTCATTTTTTTTCCCAGTTACACTGTCACTTTAAATGCAATCTCTAGGTATGATTTGTATTGTATAGTTAGGTTGTTCCAGCTTGGACCAATGTAAGTATGCATATCTCATACCTGAGCGACTGCTGTGGAAGCTGCAAATCACTGTAGTAGTCTGATCCTCTGCCAAGCAGCTTTTCTTCTGTATAGTAGCCACTTGGGGTTGGTTGCTGGCACTACTGCCCTTTACCTGCTGGGCAGTGCCACTCAGCACAGGACCATGGAGATTGCTGCTATCACTGTAGTAGTGCTAAGTACTACAGTGACTTGCAGCTTCCACAGCGATTTGCTCAGGTATAATCTATGCATTCTGACATTGGTCCAAGCTGCAATGCAAATACCAAGTCCTCATGCACACTGGATGTTTTTACAGCTGCTGTTTTTGGCTTTTGACATTTTTCTAGAGCTAGCAAATCCCCCAGCATGTTATCCTATGTATCCATGCACACATAGACTGTAATCAACATTTTTTAGCTGGAAAAAACCCCAGGACTAGTGGGTTTCTAGAGCAGTCTTTTTAGCTGTAAAAATGTTCTAACTCTGAAAAACGCAGCAAACCAGCGTGGTTTTTTTTTTTTTTTTTGCACTTTTTTTGACCCCAAAAATTTTTTGGAGGTTAAAAAAAAAAAAAACAAAAAAATGCAAATGCGGGAAAACGCAGCTAAATGCCGCTAAACACTAATGCAAAAAACAGAAATTCACGTTTTTAACGTAGCTTTACACAGCTAACGTTACCAGCATTATCAAAATGTCCCGTGTGCATGAGGACTGAGAGTTTAGCTTTATTATTATTATACAGGATTTATATAGTGTCAACAGTTTTCACAGCACTTTACAATATAAATGGAGACAGTACAATAACAATACAATTCAATAGGAACATTTTGCTTTCTATAAGAATGTTGTATCAAAAATATTTTTTTATGTCTTTGGGCCTGTAGCAATTTTCAGACATTCCACGTTTTAGAATGAGAAGCATTACTGATGATATCCCTTCCAGGAGTGCATGTGTTGCCAAACCAGTTGATCCGGGATGCTTCACAGTTTAATTGTACAGTACTTTAAGCAGAGCTAGACCTACTGGTTCAACTGTTTCCTATAACTTTATATTTAAGGCATGCCTCTAATGATAACTGTTAGGCCTCATGCACACAGGACATTTTAAAAACACTCCTCTTGGCAGCAGCGTTTTGGCATAAAACCGCTTTTACAAGCGTTTAGGCCCATTATCAAACATCAAGCACTTGAGCGTTAATTCATTTCATTGGCCAGAATAATAATTTATTCTGGCCATTGAAATGAATTGACACCCAAGTGCTAAACGCATCTAGCATTTAGGTACGTTTACACCCGTCAAGCAATTTTTCTGCCAATATGCTGCTGCTCTTGGATGCACTGGCCCTGGGTTTTTTGCCTGCTGGTAAACGCTACTACTACTAAAAACCTCTAAAAGTCTGTGTGCATGGACACATAGCATAAGATGAAGTACCGTTCTGGAAGCAGTAAAAAATAAAACGCCTGGCGCCCCTAAAAGTTGGTGCAAAAACGCCCTGTGTGAATAAGGCCTTACAGTTACTAGTGTTGGCTTGGAACTTTACCCATAAAAACTTGATAAAAAATAATGTTGTTTACCAGGGAACATGCATTCCACACTAAACACTTAAGGACTGCCCAACAGCAGCTTTACTGCTACAGGGCAGCCCTCCTGTGCAAAATCAGGTGTATATATACGTGATTTTGCACATCTGCCACAGGGGGCTCACACGCCACCGTTTCGCTTCAGCTGTGAACACTCACAACAGAAGCCAATCTGTGGGCAGGAGAAAGAATAGAGCTCTGCCTTTGTAAACAAGGCAGAGCTCCGTTCTGACAGGTGGGTGAAGTGTGTCACTGCAAAGCTGGGAACACGATCCTTCACTTCCTGTAGTAAGTACCAGCTGCTACCTAGGGTACACCAAGCACATAGCTAGGCACACATTTAACCCTTTGATTGCCCTAGATGTTAGCCCCTTCCCAATCAGTGTCATATTAGTACAGTTATCAGTGCATATTTTTAGCACTGATCAATGTGTTAGTGTCACTGGTTCCCAGTTGGTTGGTGTAAAAATATCTTCCGCAATATCGCAGTCCCGCTATGAGTTGCTGATCGCTGCCATTACCGATATAAATAAACAAACATTTCTGTATAAATAAAAAAACTAATCAACATACACTTGTTGGGATTTTTTTTTTACCAAAAATATGTAGCAGAATACATTTTGGCCTACATTTATGAAGAAATTTAGATTTTATTTTTTATTGGATACGTTTTATAGTAGAAAATAAA